CCCGGCCATGCCTGCGAGGGGGGCCCGTCTCTGAGGGGCAGCCCGGTGCCCGCAGGCAGCGGCGTGGCACCCTCCCGGTGTGGTTAAAGAAAAGGGGGGGAACCCCCAAAATGAAAGGGGAACGGGGTGACGTCCCAGGGTGCTCGTCCATGCAGGGACCCTGGCGTCCCCTCCCTCCCTGAAAGCACCTCGGGTGCCTTGGGTGGCTGTGGAGGGGCCCCCTGAGGGGCCCAGGGAGTGGGCACTGGGGGAGCAGGCAGCTCCCTTGGCTGCAGGACTATGGAACGGCTTGTGCTGGGCCGGTCTCTGCTTCCTGAGGCTCATAACCTGTCAATTCTTGCAGAACCCGAGTGTCTCAAAGGAGCCTGTCAGTGTGAAGATGTCCCTGCCTGCGGCTTGGGCATGGCGCTGGGGGCAGCTGCCTGCTGCTTGATGTCCCCCTACTCAGATCAGGGTTGGAGTAACTTGTGAGCGGGCTGCCTTGCCGGTTTGAAACCTGCCGCTGGTGGCTGTCGCTCACTGTCATTGCTGCACAGCTTGTGAGACGTCACGGGGAAAAGCCCTGTCTCCCTTCCTCTAGCCTTAGCTCTTGTCCCCTCAACATCCAGAGGGTGTTGGGGTGGCTGGCATGGTGCCTGCTGCCTTCAGTGTGGTACTGGGGGGGACAAACCCCTCCGTGCGGCAGGGCTGAGGTGACAGGAGGCAGCCGGTGTCCCCCGCTGATGGTGAGGAGGGTCACCAACACCTTGGTGACCTCCTTTGCCTTGTACCAGCACAGCTGGCCTGCAGGAGGATCTAGAAAGGTTTGGTGGTACTTGTGCAGCACCACAGCGACCTGGTTTGCTGCATGAATTCCCTGCTGAAGGTGGAGGTGGGAACAGTGAAGGGTTTCAGCACCTTTTTTTGTTTTGAGTGCATGATTCCCTGATTGTTGAAAGCTGTTGGCATTAACTCATGCCAGCTTTGGCTAGCTGCGCCCACGTTTGCTCCGGACGGTGACCAGCAGACAGGAGGGGAGTTAAAACACTATCTGGTGTTTTCCCAGCCTGAATCCTTTCCCGGCCAGCTGCTGGCCTCTGATTCTTGGGTTTGGCATCTGCACTGAGCGAGGATCTCTGCTAGAGGGGCTGCAGGAGCCGGCTCCTCCAGCAGGCTGGTTGCTCGAACGCTGCAGGTCCTAGGGTTGATTTCCTAAGCTCTGCAAGCTGAGGCTGGTCACGTTGTCCCCTGTGAGGGCTGACACCCTGGCTTCTGCCTGCCTCACCCGGGCTTTTTCCAGCCTGCCTGCTCCTGCCAGCAGGGCAGGAGGAGTTGGTGTCTCTGGCAGAAAGCTCTCCAGGAACCTTCTCCTGTCTGCAGTTTCCCAGCCCTGATGTTTTCCCTGGGCTGGGCACAGGGAGGCCTCAAGCAGGAGACCCCTGCTGTGAACGTGTGGACCTGTCTGCTGCTGGGGACAGAGCTGGCCTGGCCAAGCTTCTGCTATCACTGGACACAAAGCCAGAGCTGCCTCTGCCTGGCTTCTGATCAAGCTCCTGACCTGGTGCTGCCCTGGCATCCTTGAGCCATGCTTGCTCAGCAGCAGGCTGCCTTCTGCTGGTGGCTTAGCAGCAGGGAACGAGGCAGAGCTGGGGAGATGTGGGTAGATTCCACCCTGTGTGAGCTTGTGAAGATGAAATTCTCACATTGGTCTGGGCATAACAGAGTGGGAAAGTGCAACCCTGGCCTTGCAAGAGGACGTTGGTACCTTTGCCCGGTACCAGGGTATGGAGATGGTCTCGAAGTTCTCAGGACTTTTCTTCACTGAAGAACTGGAAGATGCAGTATGTGGCTTCTTGCTTTGTGGTAAAGGCAGCCTACCAGAACGGACAAGTGCCAACTGCTGTGGGCTTTCATGCAAATAAAGCATCCTTTTGCTGAAACTGGAGTCTGTTAAGCTAAAGCAGCTTATCAGGTGCTTAGTGTTGTTGTTGAAGCAACTGTCATAACTAATACTTGGCTCTTCCGTGTGACCTGCTGGCTTTGCTCGTCTGTCTGCCCTTGAGTGGTAGCAAAACACTTTCTGTGAAGCAGGGGAGTTGGGCTGTGAGGCAGATCCACCCGGCTGCTGGCCTTCAGGTGGCTCGGTGCTGTCTTACAGTAGCCAGTAAAGAAGCATTTGCTTATACGCAAATATAACCAGAGCTGGACCTCATCTGTCTGTTGATGAGGGTTGGATCACTGCGTGATTGCAGTCCTCTCTTGGGATGCCCTCAAGTGCCGGGTTTTCTGACCCTTCCCCATGGTAGGTGTCAGGTTTGCCATGGGGGACATAGGGAGCTTCTGCCTGCGTGCCTGATGGTCAGGGTGTGTGAAATCAGGCCTCTCAGATGACGGGTGTTGTGTCATGGGCTGATCTAAAAGAGGTCATGGCTCTTCTGTAGTAGCAGATGGAGAAGTAGGAACAGGGCGTGGTATTTTCATAGTCTTAGAAACTAAATTTAAGGCAAACTGAGAACCTGGTCATAGTAGAAAAGTAAATAATCTCCCAGCTCTGAAATGCAGAAAAGGACTTGTTAGGTAAATTCCAGAGCCTGCCTTACCCTGTCCACATAGAGTGGGGTTTTCTTTACCAGCTTGAAGAGCTCCTGCAGAAGCAGAGGATCTAAAGGAGATCTGCTACAAATGTCCCCACTGTGGGTCACTGTGGTGTTAGCAGCCCTCTTGTTGGCTGGAGGAGGTCGCTGTGGTGGTAACCCTCTTGTTGATGTGGTCACCAGCTGGAGGTTCGTCTGGAGGCCCCTGGGGAGGTCTAGGTGTGATGTTTGGCATGGGTCTCTGCTCCCCGCTCTCCATCACTAGCGAATGTAACTCCTGCCTGTAACAGTTCTGATCCAAGCTGGGAGCAGTCCCAGCTTTCTCCTCCAGGAAAACATCCTAAGATGCGGGAGGACTCACCATCAGATGATACTGACGTTTTATGTACCTAAAGACTTGGGCTCACCTCAAACAGGAGCTGCTTTAGCACCGCTTTACTCCTTCAGGTGCAGTGGGAACCACCGATGTTTCCTTGCTGAAGAAAGCGCTGAGGAGCCGGTCGGTTCAGAGTTGCTGCTGATAGTGCTCCATTTACTGACCGTCAAAGACCTGTTTTGTTCTCTGCTAAGACATTGAAGAATAGCGCTTGCTGTCCGATTCTTGCTTGGAATAACTTGTACTTGCTTCCCTGCCTGCAAAATGAGGGATGATTCGTGAGGCTGGCGTCCATAGCACTTGTTTGCAGCAGGA